AAAAAAACCGTTGATGATATGAGAGTAGCATTATCGGAAACTGCTCCTCGCATAAACAAACTGATTGACTCAATGAATCAGCAGTTTTCCCACTGATAATGCTTCTGGTGTTTCCGTTCATTATTTTTTGTAATACAAATTAACTTCATAAGTTTCTATTTAGAAAAGGTTTGATTTTCTTCTTTTTTTTATACGAATATATAATACTATTTTTATACAAAACCTAAAGTCCTAAACAATAAAAAGGTTCTTTCTGACCTTCTTGTTTTTCTGTCAATTTATGACATTGATGTACAAATGAATGATGAATTACTAATTTTTTAATCAGAATACTGAATTTTTAGTATTTGTCAGTATTTTTTATATCATTTTAGTATTTTTGCGAATGACTAATTTTGCACAATTTTAGTCACAAATTAGTCAGTACTAACCATAATCATTCATTCAAAACAAATTTTATTAGTATTTTCCAAAAATTATTTTAATTGCCAAAAACAAAAATACGAAAAAAAAATTTTTTTGAATGAATGATTATAATTAGTATTAATTTGTAGACCTACTAATACAGCGGATAAAATGAATAATTTTTTATTAATGACTACACACGTTAATAAAAATACTGAATTTTATACAGAGTACTAACTTAGACTAAAAAATTAGTAGATTAGTACTAAATAAGAAAACAGTATTTTGGGTGTCGCTTAGTATTTTTTTTTTTTTTTAGGCACAGCATTTTGACTAAAAAAAAATCCTTAGTATTTTGAATGAAAAAATCATTCATTGTACATCAATGCTTTATGATGGCTATGAATTATTTTGTATGGGAGTTGGGGGGGTAAATGGAGAAATACATAAAGCTGAGTGGGTCAATGATGGAGGAAAGGTTGAGAATTGCCGCAATAGATACTATTTTTCATCCTACATGTTTGCTAGACACCCACCTCACTCGCAATAAATTGGAGTCTGTGCGGGTTTAGTCTCCCAACAAAAAAATTATGCGTTTATAAATATTAATTAGTTAAAATTCTAAACAAATTCTGGCAAAAGAAACGTATGTCAAAAGGACGGTTATTCCCTTGACACCGCTATTACTGTATACACTTTTGATTCCTTCGTCAATATTTATTGTTTTAAAAAGCGTAGATTAAACATTTAATAAAACCCAAAACATTCAAAGACCATATGAAAGTAATGATAGAACAGTGCGGCATTAATCTTGCGAAACAGGAAGTTAGAGCAGCCATTAGCAACACTATGCACTATGCCGTCAGTTCATTGAAAGATTTGAAACTAAACTCAAAACCAGGAATTTCGCCGACAACAGTGTCATGATCGCTCAGAGTGTGGGCTACCGCTACCAGCTGTCGACATTCAGTATCCAATTCAGATATCCAAAATCCTCCTCCTCATCATCATCTTCATTATCATCATCATCTGCACGATGAGTGGCGAAATAGTAGAACCAGAAAGCGGCTGAGCATCAGAACGGTTTTCTTCCACACATCATGGTTAAAAGCCGGAGAGGTCTTTCTTCAGCTCAAATCATAACCAATGTCCTCCAAATTGGAAGGCTCATCATGAACACAGACTCGTGGCTATTATAGCGGGACCACTGCGCCCTGTCCATTATATTAACTTTAGCCAGAACCCCTTCCACTCAGCCTATCACCACCCAATCGAGTGCATCCATAACTACACAGCCCAATCTACCTCATTGAGTTAGATAGACCTTAACCCTACAAGAATAGTCATCCATCATTTGACAACTACTTTTTTATAATCCTGCTGAGTGTCTAGACACCCTCCTCACCAGAAAAGCCTGGTGGGTGAGCCGGTTTAGTTGAAGATGACCTAACAGTGCCTCAAGTAGTACTGGCCTACGTGATATCAGTAGTACTAGTAGAGTGATCTGACATTAACCAAAATAGAACAATGCTGAAAACAGAAGCAGTCCCAAACCCACATGTATAGCACATGAGATTTGATTATAGTGGCGAAGGTTTCGTGCAGGACCATCCACACTTTTGAAGGGCCGAATACAGAGACCTGGTGCACTACGTTCCACAAGGTCCCCAAACGACCCTCCGCAGGTTTTGAATTCAAAGTTTTCCTTCTTCAAGACCAGTTGCCATCCAAGGCTATAGAACCCAGCCTGTCCTGCTATTTTCCCAGAGCTGGAGGGAGAAGAAGAGGATTCACTCCTTTCCCAAGGGTATTAGCACGTACTGACTGGAATTCGAACTCGGCTCTCCGATTCCTCAATCCAAACCGCTATACATTACTCCACCGTGCCTTATATGAGGTGAGATGATTTTTTTTAAATTCCAAAGTGCAATTTGCACCGATTTTAATAAAAAAACTTCATATATTGTCAGGCATTGCGCACCTCAACGTTTCTTGATCAATTAGATCTGAATAGTGAGTTCGATCCTTACTGGGTGCCGCATAATTTAGGCCTTCTGCCACTATATGCTAGGCTTAGAAAATCAGCATATAGTGTCGATGATTACCTGTCTTCTGATTCAATATCGTTTTCATAATTTGTAATTATTTGACTGCTGTGTACTCTTTTTTTTTCTAATGATAATTGATAGTCGTGATTTTTCCCAAGGGATGTAACCACGAATATGTTGGCTCTGTAGAGATTTTCCAAGCGTAGATTAGATGTGGCACAAGGCCGAAAGCATAGGATATTCAGTGAGGATCGAACTCACGTTTCAGTAGTAACTGACATAGCAAGACAAGCTTGCTAACCATTACACCACGCTGAGGTGTCCAATGTTGGCACTGTAGCAGCAGATGCTTTCATTATCAATACAAATATTGACAACGAGTTCTGATCGCCCACGCTGTTATGGGAATATATAACAGGAAAAGAAAAAAAAAAGAAAAGTAAGTCGTCTTCTGTAGTTTCTGTATAATAAATAATTAGTTATTAGTTCAGTTCTCAGTTTAATTCGTAACTCATGAAAAGAAAAGATCTCCCGTTTGCGTTAATTATATATGTTGTTGCTTTTCATTTGAGAGATTACAAATTTCAGAGGTTTTTCAAAAAATTTTAAAAATTTAGAATAAAAACAAATAGTTAGGTTATAATGGACTGCAAACAGATACTGAATGAAGGAAGATAACAAAAAAAACAAGATTTGAGTATGTATATATATATATATATATATATATATATATATATATATATATATATATATATATATATATATAGTGTTTATTTACCTTTTGGAATCGTTTTACAATTGTCCTTACTCTGTCCAATGTTTAATTCCATTTTAGTTCTACCTGGACATTGAGTTCTCTTGGATTCTTCCTCTTGGAAAATTTTTTCTGAAAATATACATGTATGGTTATTTTTTTTTTATATATATTTTGCATATGTATGTATATTTTCCACTAATATTATCTATCTATCTATCTATATATATATATATATATATATATATATATATATATATATTGCCAAGTTTATTTTCGTTAAAGAAAATGCATTGACAAAATGCGGTTACCGTTCACTAGGCAAAAAATTATCTGCATGTTCACCTCGAGATTAAAAAAGAACGTTGTCCTGAAAAGGTCAGTTTTTGTAATTGAAAAGTGTTGTGGTGAAAATGACAATTTGTCGCATATCCAGGCTGCAGCTGTTGCTGCTGATGGTTGGAGCTGGAACTGCTAATCCCGATGTCGATGATGGATGGAGCGGTGGTCCGGCTGCTGGAACAGATACTACAAATAATAGGCTTCCTGTTCACGGATGGTCTGTTTTTGAGGACTGTTTATATGCTGAGTCAGTTACACAAAAGTCGCTGATCCAAGAAGGGGAAGTTTCTTCTTCCGGTCTTTCTTTTTAGGGTGGGACTGCCGACAGGATACGACAAGGCAACTCCCCCCTAATATTCTCACTATTCTATCTATCCTATTTGCACATCCTATTATAGAAAATTTTACGAAAATAATTTCAAATTTATGAAGCCACTAAAAAAAATCTCTCTCTCACTCCCTTGCTTTCTGTCTCAAACTATAAGACACAAAAGAGCGTTTCTGAACGTGAATGAGATAGATAGATAGATAGATAGATAGATAGATAGATAGATAGATAGATAGATAGATAGGAAAAAATGGAAATAGTCTGATACACTTTGAAAAATAAGATAGAAAAACGTAATAAATTGATATATATATATATATATATATATATATATATATATATATATATAAAAATAGATAGATAGATAGATAGATAATAGATAGATAAAGAAAATTTGAAATAGATGATAGAGATATATATATAGAAAATATTAAATATAGATATATATAGATAGATAGATAGATAGATAGATAGATAGATAAAAAAATATTAAATAGATAGATAGATGAAAGATAAAAAATTTGAAATAGATAGATAGATAGATAGATAAAGAAAAAGAAATAGACAGATAAATAGATAGATAGATAGATAGATAGATAGATAGATGGAAAAATGAAATAGTCTGATATAAAAAAATAAGCGTAAAAAAAACGTATAAAATGATTGATATATATATATATATATATATAGATAGATAGATAGATAGAAAGATAGATAGATAAAGAAAATATTGAAATAGATAGATAGATAGATAGATAGATAAAGAAAAGATTGAAACAGATAGATAGATAGATAGATAGATAGATAGATAGATAGATAGATAGATAGATAAAGAAAATATTAAAATAGATAGATAGATAGAAAGATAGATAGATAAAGAAAAGATTGAAATAGATAGATAGATAGATAGATAGATAGATAGATAGATAGATAGATAGATAGATAGATAAAGAAAAGATTGAAATAGATAGATAGATAGATAGATAGATAGATAGATAGATAGATAGATAGATAGATAGATGGATAGATAGAATGATGGAAATGTGATGAGAGCAGGGCAGATGGAAAAGGATTAAGACAAAGATTCTACGAAAGTAAAAAGAAATAAATAAAAACACTAGAATAGACAGAAAGATGTAAATTTGTTCCAGTACGCGTGCGCACCTACGGTCGAGCGCTTTTATAGAGGTTTCTTTTCGTTTTTAATCATTTCATTTCACCCGACGTAAGGCAGTAGAACCACTGATACTAAAGGTATTACTGAGAATGAAAGAATAAGAAAGAATTTTAAGAAAATGTTTTCCCTAGAAAAAATGTACGGTCTTCTTACCGTAAATCATTTCAAACCTCTTTATTAAATTTAATGTATAATAATTTAGTTCAATTTTATCATACAACACCTAAGGGAGAATCAATTTATTTATATTTACTATAATCTACACTTGAAGTTCATGAGCAGATAGTTATCTTTGAAAATCTTTCCCTGTTCTTCTATGTGCCGTATCAGTTTAGGACGTTGGCGATCAATGGCTTCCATATTTTTCTGTCCTTCTTAGCACTTAACAGATTTTGTCTTTGTTCTAATTCTTCCAGACCCTGCTCCGTCTTCCATTTAGTCAATCTCACTAAATAAGTTATGCGTTGTTTTCCTCTATCCCTTTCTCCTTCAATCTGTCTTGCGAGTATCAAAATTTCCAAGCCATCTTTCCTCATTTGTGCGCTAGAAATTTCATCTGTCTTTTCCTGATGATAAGTATACGTTTCCTTTTTTTCACTGAAACTTCGTTTTTCTCATATCTTCAGTTCATCATATCCACAATATCCTCCTGTAGAACCACATTTCTGCTGCTTCAAGTCTCTTCTTCATCTTTGAGGAGGACTGATATCCCGTAACAGTTATGTATTATTTTCTTTGTTTCTAAAGATTTCCTGTTTCTTAATACTTTGCTTAGCTTTTTTAATGCATCTTTAGCCATCCCAAGGCCTCTTCGGATTTCAGTGTCAAACTTCCCCTCCTCATTTAAAACACTTCCGAGATATTTCAAATGTTGTAATTGTTTGATTTTGGTACTCCCAATTTGGAATTTGCTCATCCCTCACAGACAGCCTTAATTTTTTTAGTTATAATGGAATGAATATCTCGTTGGAAAAATCTTCTATTTTATTTTTGTTTTTCACCTACTTTCTTTAAAAAATTAAATGCAACTTTAATCGCCATCTTCCGTCTCGCTGAATTCTGTCCTTTCTACTCAGTATGTTTTCTCATTGTGTTTCACTCCCACTTACAACCCCATACCTACGTCTTAGTGGCATTATCGCTTTTCTTGGGATGAAATGATTAAATAGAAAATAGTAAAGCTCAACTAAAAGCAGCTGCAACCAAAGCTTTCGTATGTAATTGACGGGTTGTCACTATTTGCAAAGACAAAAAAAAAATATTAAATACATATTAGCGCTGAGATATTTTCATGTTTTTATATATATATATATAACTAATAAATGATTAATAAAAGGGAGAAAATCTACCAGTGTCTACACAGCGGAAAAGGATAGAAAATATTTGATTACTAAGCTACTAGGAAAAGTGTGTGTTGGGGGCGTTTTCGTCAGCCGCCCGGAGATAAGATATTAACCCCAGCTGGCCAAAGAACGATGTCGACTCTGCTACATGTTGAAGCAAAGAAAGAAAATAGAGTAAGAGAAAGGGATACTTTTAGCCTTTTATATTAATTATAGACCGTCTCATAACGGGCGTCTTAGCAGACCAAGTGGGGTTAAACTCCACAGTAACGAAAATAATTTCTCTCCGGAGTCCAAACAAACTAAGACTACAACGTCTACTAAAGATGGATGTAATCTAAAAACAGAAATAATTTATAAGACAAATAAAAATTAAAAAATATCATGTGACGTTATCTAAGAAATTTGATCAACCAGATCAACATATATATATATATATATACAGTAGCGTCCAAAACTAAGGGACAAAATTTTAAAACCTAATATTTGTTAGAAATAACAACTGTGAAAAGCTGAAATTTTGACAACTGGTAGTCGGTATCATCCATAATAACATACAAAAATTTGAATCATTTGCAAAGGATAGAAAAAGAATTATAACAATTATTTATTTATTTTCAAATTTGGAACGTCCAAAAGTAAGGGACAAAATTGAGAAAAACAATGTAAACGGCAAAAAAACAATAAAAATACATGTACAATCAATATTTAGTAAATGAGCCCTTGCTCTCAATGACAGCTGCACATCTTCGACTACAAGAACGAATCAGTTCTTGACAATCCTCGATACTAATTTTAGACCATTCTTCTTGAAGCTTCACCCACAAATCCTCCGTGTTAGTGGGATTTCTTTCCATAACTTTCACTCCTAAGGTATTCCAAAGATTTTCTATTGGATTTAAATCAGGACTTTGCGGTGGCCAATCCATAATTTCCAAATCTTGCTCGCTAAGGTAACTCATTACCACCTTTGCCTTGTGACATGGGGCATTATCTTGCATAAAGGTTGCCCTATCGAAACCTGAATTCTGTATGATTGGCACAACATGATCTTGAACAATGTTTTTATAGATCTGCGCGTTTACACGAGTTTGTAACAGGACAAGAGGCGTTGTATCTTGGCTAGAAAACATTCCAAATACCATGACGCTTCCGCCCACAAACTTGACAGTTTTCTTAGTACACTTTGCACTTAATCTTTCACCAATACGTCTCTTTACATTGTTTTTTCCATCATTTCCAAATAAATTAAACTTGCTTTCATCACTGAAAAATACTTTTGCCCAATTTTCATATGTCCAAATTACATACCTGTTTGCAAACTCTAATCTCTTCTTATTCTTCGAACTAACAATTGGTTTCTTCTCTGGGGTTCGATTAAACAGCTCTATTTCATGCAGTCGTCTACAAACAGTTTGTCTTGACACATTAACACATGAGGTACTATTCATATCCCTTTTAATTTCTGTGCAAGACTTAAAACGGTCTTTTAATGACATACGCTGCATTATTCGATCTTCTCTTGCCGAAGTTTTGCGGGGTCTGCCGGTTTTAAAAGCACTAACTATTTTGCCAGTATCATTGTAGGATTTAACAACCCTGCCTACAACACTCTTGGAACGTTTCACTTTCTCTGAAATCTCTCTAATGGTGTGCTTTTCCTTGTGTAGCTTCACAATAGTTTGTCTCACAGAGTAATCAAGTTTTTGGCGTTTCGCCATGGTGCCGGCTGATGCAACGTTTATAAATGACTAAGTAAGACTTATTCTTTAGAGGAAATCAAAATATTTGAATATAGCATACTGTTTACATTGTTTTTCTCAATTTTGTCCCTTACTTTTGGACGATCCTATTTTGAAAATAAATAAATAATTGTTATAATTCTTTTTCTATCCTTTGCAAATGATTCAAATTTTAGTATGTTATTATGGATGATAACGACTACCAGTTGTCAAAATTTCAGCTTTTCACAGTTGTTATTTCTAACAAATATTAGGTTTTAAAATTTTGTCCCTTAGTTTTGGACGCTACTGTATATATATATATATGAAAATTTCTCTCATTTAACCAGTAGATAAGACAATATTCATGAATAAAAATGACAATAGGAAAACTAGTGATTGCTGACGCGTTTCGTCCAATGTCGAAAATAACGTCAGTATTTGTCACGTGAAGAGAATATTGTGGGAAAAAACCTGTTTTTTCCCCATTTCACCTTTCTTAACAAAATTAATGCTCTTACAAACAAATATACACAACAGATTCATAAAATCAAAAGAAAATGGTTGAATACATACACACAGATATAATGATAATATTCTCCACACGTGACAAATACTGACGTTATTTTCAGTTAAAAATATGAAAATAGCGTTTCTCTACATTCTAGTTGCTAGGGACATTCTGTTTTTATTAGTTACTTTGTTCAATTAATTTCATTTTCGTATTTTGCTTTGATAAAATCTACATTGGACGAAACGCGTAAGCAATTACTAGTTTTCCTATTGTCATTTTTTTTTCATGAATATATATATATATATATATATATATATATATATATATATATATATATATATATATATATATATATGTATGCATATTTTGGGAAAATTCAGAAAAATTTTTCCTTGAGACATGGTTCATTGAATAATTTAAACAAGTTTTCTCTACTTATTTTCAATTGGATCCTTTCATATTCATGGACAAGATTTTTGGTTTCATACTTAAAAGGAGAGAGAAAAATAACCCTGTTGATACATATTATTTTATTCTGAGCACTTAATTTAAAATGTTGAACACTACAATATTTGTCTTGAAATAAACAATACCCTGATGATGACATTGTCGAAAGTACTCAGAATAAAATAATACGTATCAAGGTGGTGATTTTCTCTCTTCCAAAACACCGAAACACCCCATGACACCAAAAAGCTTGTCCATGTATATAATAAAATCAAGTTGAAAATAAGTAAGCTAAACTCTTCGAAGCACCTAAAAAACAACAAAAAACAATTAAATTAAAAATGACTGCCAAAGAGCTACGTAACCATATTCTTTAAGAACAGCGGACAAAACCAATATCTGCGTGGTAGCAAATAAATCTGATTATAATTCAAAATTATTCAATCAAATATCCTTTAAAGACAAAAATTGTCTAACATTTGGATATTACTTTTATGCTCTATGCTTTCGACTCACATGAGCCATCATCAGATTCGTTATGTGGCACATTACAACGGCGATGTTCAACCTCAAAGATGGCATCCTCATATATTTTCATAGAGATTAGCTATCCGACGGTCGGAGAATAGCAGACGCATGTTGTAAATTCGTAATGCGGTTCTATGACGTTGTACATGATCACGTGAGAGAAAGAAACGTTATCAACAGAACCATGATGAGATTTCTTTCTCTAACGTGGTCATGTACGACGTCAGAGAACCGCATTAGATCCGAAAAAAACGCAATCGTTACGAGTCGAGAAAAAAAAAACTCTTAATAATAGCTAACGAAAGCTCTCAGATATGTAGAAGATTTGTATAGTTCGCCTTAGTTGAACATGCACAGGGAAATAAGTCCTGCAGCACCACTCCCGGTAGACATCCCCTACCACGATGCCGACGTTCCACAATGTGGCCATTAGGTTGGAATTATTTTTTTTTTCTTTGATTTCTGGCGTTTACACATTTCTTTCCGGCATCATGGCATCATGACACTTTCCACTGGCAAAAAAAAAAAAAAATTGCATAGATAAAGCCCTTCGTAAAGTGTGGGCTGTACTTGTCAGAACAATTTTTTGTATCTCCTTGAGGCATGGACTTCCAGGAATCCCTTCAATTGATGTTCCCATATGCCACATTTTCGAGATTTCTATTTCAAGGTCCTTGTACTTTGACAACTTTTTGAATATCTTCAAAGATACATTGCACTCAGCAGGGACTGCCATATCAATAAGGAGGCACCGTTTTTGTTTCTGGTCTTTAATAACAATATCTGGCCGGTTAGCCTTGATTGTTCAGTCAGTGTGTATTGTGTAGTCCCATAGAATTGTAACAGGTCCTATCTCCGTAACCGGGTCTGGGTGGTGTTCATACCAGTTTCTTTCAGTTTCCTTCCCGTAGACGTTGCAGATTTTCCAGTGCAGATATCTGTCATGTCGGGTTTCATATTCAGTGGGTGCCAACATCGTGCAACCTGATACAAGATGATCAATCGTTTCTGGATATTTATCACAGAATCTGCATTTTGGGCTGACACAATATTTTTGTATATGTGCTTGATAATTCCTAGTTAGCAATCATTGGTCCTGCGCAGCAAGGATAAAACCTTCAGTTTCCGCTTTCAACCCTGCACTACGTAGCCACTGATGGGTACGGGTTTTGTCTACGTCAGCTTGTTTGGTACGGGCAGTGTATTGGCCATGAAGCGGTTTATCTTGCCATCGCTTCTGTATCTGGTCGGTGGCATTCGTCTTTGCTGTCTTTTTTAGGTATTTTGCAATTTCAGCCGGTGTGTTGTGCAGTAGTTGCATCTCTACGCCCATTTGAAGTATTATTATTATTATTATTATTATTATTGTTATTATATTTGTTTATTTGTTTATAAATTCGAAAAAAATAAGTTTTAAATATAATAATAGTTACAGTAAACATTGTAAAATAGACGTTCGAATTGGGAAAGCCTCGTCTTCAAAACGGCCAACGAGGTAATCTGATTAGTAGCACAACAACCTGGCTAAACCCCTGCATCCCCGAGAGGGTTACCAGACGATTTTACACATTTCGATTCTTTTTTTTTTTTTTTTTTGCATTACCGAAATTACCATACGCTGGGGAATATAAACATTTATCAAGCCATCAGCACCGGAAAAACTTTCGTAAAGAAAAGGCTTCTCCTTACCATTATTATAGAGCGAATCAAAATCGAAATGAGACCAGGGATCTCAGAAGAACAATTTGGTTTCATGCTGGATAAAGGATACAGAAACGCCATCTTTACGCTAGGAATGTTTTGAAGACGAGTCATTAAACACAGGTTGTTTGTAGCTATTTCATAGAATACACGACAGCATTTGGCAAGTTTCAGCATACAGAGCTCTTGAAACTTCTGCGGGAACTTTGAATAGATAGCAAGGACATTCAACTGGTCAGGTATTTAAACAGGAATCAGCAAGCTGCAATTTAAGTCGTACACTACGTATCATCATGAATACGTATTGTACGAAGCCTGAGACAAGGCTGTGTGCAATCGCCCGAATTCTTCAGTCTTTATAGCGAGATCATTCTCCGCGTGATAATCACCCATGATCGGTTGGAAAGCCGGCGGTGTCAATGTCAACAACTTCCGTTATGTCGACGACGCGGTCTCAGAAGAAGAACTGAAAGCGCTTTTGGATAATGTGCTAGAAGCAAGCGCCAAAATAGGTCTATCAATCAAATTCGATAAAACAATATCAGTGGTCATCAATCAACGCAGAAACGGCAATGTCATTTAAGAATTAGCAATAAGGGCAACGAGGTGTTAGAGGCTTTTAAATATCTCGAAGGTGGGATTGTGACTAGTGAGAGTTGTAAGACAGAGATCAAGAAAGGAACGGCCGCTGCGAAAACGTAATTTCAGCACATGCTCTCCATTTTTTGTCAAAAGAAACCTGTCTGCAGCTGAAGTGTAACCAATGGTCAATCTTAACCTATAGAGGTGAAGCCTGAACCGTAACCCCTAAGTTTGAGAAGAATATCGAAGAGGCATATATGTGGTTCTAACGATAAGCGCTTAGGGTGACCAATGAGAACTTGTGAAGAGCTGAAGTGAGAAGGGGTTATTGTTGGCTATCTTGGAAACACAGCTTCGGTTTCTCCGTCATGTCTTCATTGCTCTCAGTTTTTCCGACCCCAACTTCACTTCCTAGGCTGTATCAACTAAGGACAATTGCTTTTTTATACTCGCTTTATTATACGAGAGGCACCACCGATTCTAACGGAGGGACGATCAGCAGGGGAAACGCATGCCTACGCGTTGGTTAGGAACTTTTGTTTATTGTTTTAATGTTTAAGTATAATTGAGTTTTCGAAAACAGAATTATACTTAAACATGAAAACAACAAACAAAAACTAAAAATTCTTGAAGCTATATACATAAAACAGTTGAAACCTAACCTAAACAAAATAAACTATGAAATCTCCACAAATATCCTTAAATGTCTACAATTGATAACAGAATCCATTGGTTTATACCAACGGCTTCCCATACTTAATACATCTCGAATTCATTCTCGGGTAGTCATGTGTGACGTCATGAGCTGCGGTGCGATTTTCACTTCCAGCGTCTTATATACACGTATTTATCGTTGCTTGGAAATCATCCATGTAAACAAAAACAGACTATCATCACATTCTTGTCCGGGTATTGCTTAATATATTTTATAGTAATAATCATCTTTGATAATGGCTTATGTAAGCCGAAAGCTTAGATTGGATTAAAAATATGTATCAATATTGTGATTTTCTTTCTTCGTTTAACGATAAAGTTATTTAAGCTTATCAGACGTTATGTAAAGAATTTACATAAAATAAATACAAAAGATTTGTCTATATCATTTAATGAAACATGTATGAATAATATATATATATATATATATATATAAAATCATTTTAACCTGATATTTTTATTATTTTAAACATGCAAATATCAAATATAATAAAAGTTTGAAGTAATATATATATATATATATATATATATATATATATATATATATATATATATATATATATATATATATAGGGGCGTACTCAGTAATAATACAAATATAATAGCCTCACCTTCATGTAAAAAAGACTAAAAATAATGGAAGCATTATTAGCAAAAAAGAAAAAGCCAACCCTCTGTAATCTCAACTATGGACACGTCCACAATGTGTAGAGCGTGTATGTAAACTAAAATATTCCTATTCAAGATACATATATAAAAAAAATCCATATATTCAATTAAAAGTAAAAGTGAAACCATCCTTGTTAAAGACTTAACGAACAGCCGAAAGCGCTCGGACATAGAAAACATTCGGACAATTTCTACATAATTTGGGTCCAGCAAAGAAGAAAATTATAAGAGCGCAAAAAGAATTGAATAAATAACTTAAACACATTAAATTATCAATCGCTTTAAAAAAGAAACTTGCATAAAAGCCGAGTTGCTGCCGAAATACACGTATATATATATATATATATATATATATATATATATATATATATATATATATATATATATATAAGCAAATATAATATACGGAAAAAAAAAAAAAAAAATCTAATATGCATATTCATAAATCTTACTCTTATGTCCATCGTCTTTTCATGTTGAATTGAATATAGTCTAATGTTAATTATGTTTTATAAATATGTCCTGAAGATGGTCTACTAGACCGAAACGTCCGACGTTGATTTTATATTAACATTAAAACAGCATAATTGCATATTAGGATTTTTGTTTGTGTTTTCCGTATATTTTTCTTCATATATATATATATATATATATATATATATATATATATATCTATATATATATATATTAACGAATCCGCCATCAACGGACTTTGTATAAAACAGACAAAATATGCAGGCAAAAAAAAAAAGGATCTGCAGGAAAAACTTCCAAATTTCAAAATTTGCGGAAAGAGTCGCATTAGTTTTCAAAGGTACCACTTAGCAGCGGTGGGGTCCATTTCATTTGTAAACAAAGACGAGTGTACAGTATACGATGTACGATATATTAGTGCGTGCGTGAGAAAGTACCTATGAGAAATATATATATTTTTTGTTATTTTGATTAATATATTTATATTAAGTATATATTTATTTATGCCATATATACATGTTTATAGTATTTACATTATGATCATAACTATTGGTAGTTACTATAGTGGTTTTATGACTCTAAAATAATCCCTTCCCATCTACAGACAATCAGCTTTAACGGACCACCTCATCCCCTTATTAGTCCGTTGATGAGAGGTTTTTCTGTATGTGTGTGTATGTGTGTGTATGTGTGTGTGTTTGTATATATATATATATATATATATATATATATATATATATATATATATATACTAGCCAAAGCACCCAGGTGTACATGGCTGCAATTGTTTAACCGCATTCCCTGTATCATCATCATCTTGTGGCCTCAGCCGAGATTGAACTCACCAATACTTTGATTGGTGTAGTTCATAATCTTGTCAAATAGCTGAATTCTTGATGCTTCGCTAGGGCTATCAAGGGTGACACCAACACTAAATGGATTGCCAACCAAGGCTCAGAGAGACTCCATTCACCCTCCTCTAAGAGCAGGTTTTCCTTCTCCTAGACCAGTTGCCATCCAAGGCTATAAAACCCAGTCTGCCCTTCTTTTTACCCATAGCTGGAGGGAGAAGAAAGAGGATTCACACCTTTACCGTGTTCGACTGGAATTCGAACACGGCTCTCCGATTCCTCAATCCAAGCTGCTATCCATTACTCCACCGTGCATCCCTACACCTATGTCTAGAAATGTCTGTCTGCTAGAAATGTTTGCATGCATCATCCGTTGGTTTACTAAACTACTCCCCCGCCCCT